GCATACAATCCGATGGACATGTCTGGGTTTGGAGGTTGCCAGGAGAACGGTACTTGCCTGACTGCATTGTGCCAAGTGTAAAGTTTGGTGGAGGGGGGATTATGGTGTGGGGTTGTTTTTCAGGGGTTGGGCTTGGCCCCTTAGTTCCAGTGAAGGGAACTCTTAAGGCATCAGCATACCAAGACATTTTGGACAATTTCATGCTCCCAACTTTGTGGGAACAGTTTGGGGATGGCCCCTTCCTGTTCCAACATGACTGCGCACCTGTGCACAAAGCAAGGTCCATAAAGACATGGATGAGCGAGTTTGGCGTGGAGGAACTTGACTTGACTGGAAAGTATAGGAGCCAGTAGGAGGTTGGCATAATAGCCAGGCAACTGGCATTTTTAGGAGATCAGTAGTACCAGCCCTGGTCTTTTTCTCTCTTCAAAGATTTACTTTCAGCGAGAGGTTTTCCCCACTAAGAGGTGTATATCATGACAGCTGCTCAGATATCTTTAAGAAAGGCCATTATACTAATGTATATACAACCTGCTGCAATTAGGATTTACTCCAGGGGTGGTTGTTAATCCTCTGAAATGCACCTTGCAGTGATTTCATATACGTGTAATTCATCGCTCCCCAAAGAGCAGCTGACATTTTGTACAAGCCCATACAACCTTGTTCCTGAAGTCAATTACTGGTGCTTGTGCGGTAAACATTGGTATGAATCAAATGACATTTTATGATTCATGGATCTTGTGGGGGACTGCAAAACAATGGACTTGTGTGTGTTCAGCCATTCTCCCACTGTTCAGCATCAATGAAGGTCTGAGCCTATGCTTGTGATAACGAGTGTTCCATGGTCACTCTCTTTTGTCTTTTTGCTTTCATTTTTTTGTGTTCAAATCCACTAAATGACATATTAGATTCAAATCACCAAGCTCTAACAATTATTATATGCCAGAATGACAGTCATTTTAATCAATGAGAGCTGGAAATAACAATGCCAAATAACACATGCATTATAGTTTAATGAGTTGAGGCTATTCTATGAAAGTGAACAGACTCACACACAAGGCAACACAATGGGTGCATTTTAATGCTGAACTTCGTGAATTACATATAAACTACCCTTGCAGTTGTCGTCATACCTCCTCTTCCCTTCCCTAGTGCCGGGGTTAGGTGCACGTTTTTGCCTAGGGGTACAAGAATAAGCTGTAAGGCTTGCCTTATTTATCACTCCGATGCTCTCCTTTTCTCCCTGACGCTCCGGATTGTGGGCAGGACCTCGCTGTCCTAACAGTGCAAGACTATTCACCCTGCATTGTATGCAATGACCTTTTAGTGTGTGAACTGAGCACTTTAAGGAAGAGGCTTAGTGGGACAGGTCTCACAGATGGAGGGAGCCTGCTGGAGCAAAGAATAGGGTAGGTATTACAACGTATTCCTCTATCCCTAGACTTAATGATAATTAAACTCTTGCAATGCGGGTAATGGGGGGTGTATCGGGGGAAGACACTACAAGGTTTGTTTTTGTGTAATTCCTGGAGTTCAGCTTTAAAGTGTATATATTACTGTATATATACAATACTTACCCTTTATCCCCTTCACAATGCTGCAAGTACACAAAAATACCTGATGAGTCTGCAGAAAATCTAGTGAGCTCCTAACATCCTGTAGAGTCCTGTGGTGAGCTGACAACTCTGCCACTACCAGGGGCGTCCCGAGGCCAGGTGTCACCAGGTGCGGAGACCCATCATCCATGCACGTGATGTCGCCACGCGCATGCACGATCATGTCATCATGCATGTGCGGCCATCTAATTGACGCCTGCTGGCGGCCATCTTGGTGATGGACGCCAGCAGGGAGAGGAGGGGGCGTTCACCCAGCGGGATGAGGTATGCCGCCATGTCCCCTCCTCTATCCTGACACTTTCGGGCTCTCGCTCCATGACCGAGTGTCTGACTTTTCAGAGGGGTTGACAACAAAATGTCAGTCATTTTGTTGGCAACCCTCCATTAGTGTCACCCGGGTGCGGGCCGCACCCCCCTTGTGATGCCACTGGCCACTACTGCAATGCATTCCCAAGCAGTGTTGTCAGCTCTGCCTAAGTTGTCCCCTGCTGGTACACCTCCCCTTTATGATATGGAAATGAGGAGAAGAGGATTTCTGTAGTCCAGCAAGTGGAGGGCTGAGAACATTGCTCAGGATTGCAATGCAGGAGAGTTGGAGTTGTCAGTTCACAACAGGAATTTAGGAGTTCATTAGATTTCAGTTATAGGCAACTGCTATTTTTATGTACTTGCACCTTTCCCTTTGTTTTATCCTTTAAAATGCTGCATGTGTTGGAGCTCTCCATATTTTTTGGCTTTAGAGACGCCGTAGTTAGTGGTTCTGTTTCCACCCAGTTTTTGGCTGGGGTCCTGCTTCTTCTGCCATTCCTTCCTGCAGAATGGGCAGGACATGAAATATCCAGCCAGTAGAGGGGCTCCTCAGATTTGCAGCGACAGGCATGAAAGGTGAGCGCAGTCCACAAGAGACATAGGAAACCATTAAGTGATTTTACTGTTTGTTGCCAATTAAAACAAAACATCAGTTATTGACCCGCAGACAGTAGAGAAGAGAGCCCTCAGGGGCAGGGCCCTCCTTACCATCTTGTCTTGATTTGTATTGTGATTGTAATGTCTTCCTTATATTGTAAAGGGCTCCACAAACTGTTGGCTCTATATCAATCCTGTATAATAATAATAGAGAACGGTGCTATGCACCAATCTGCAGCATCCAATCAGAATTCTGCTCTGTAGGTTTGTTGTCTTTGAATTATAATGAAGTAGATTGGCTTTCACTATGATGTGCGGTGTGTGCGGTTTTGCTTGCTGCTGGCGCCACCCACTGGAGCTCGGTGGTCCTTCCTGATACCTCGCTGCTAGAGTTCACAGTGTGCACTGCTCTGTAATACGTTGATAATACTTCTTTTTGCAAAGCAATTGACAGTTACAAGATGCATCAGCGGCTTTGTTAATGTTACAATCTGACTTATATATTGTATAGCACAAAGGGAACACCAAGGAAACGGCTACATACATAGCTGAAGAACATATATTGATCTTTTATATAAAGTCACCTGATGTCGCTCATATGTACAATACAGGCTCCGCTATTGCTGATTTCCTTGTTAGTTGATCCTTGCTAGTTACCTGGCTCTCATGCTGATCCTCTGTCTTCGGTGCTTTCCAAGGCACTAATTATTTATTTATTGATTACTGGTATTTATATAGCGCTGACAATTCTACACAGATCCTTGCAAAGTTGCACATTCACATCAGTCCCTGCCCTCAATTAGGGGTCTCTATCTCACATGCATACATACAGGGGACATTTACCAATTAACCTACCAGCATGTCTTTGGAGTGTGGGAGGAAACCAGAGTAACCGGAGGAAACCTAAGCAAGCCCAGGGAGAACATGCAAACTCCTTGCAGATAGTGTCCTGACTGGGATTCGAACCCGGGGCCTTCGGTGATGGCCACTGTAATTCTTTGGTAGGGTGTGCTACAGTATCTTTAACATATTGGCCCAATGGCAGGAACCATAAGGTGTCCCTGTACACTTGGATTCCTCTGAAATCCACCGTTGTGCTCTGATTGAGAAGAGCATTCTGGCACTACACCTCCACATTTTGAAACCACATGAGTTAGAGACCTCAATGTTGCATTTGAAATGCAAAAGTGTAATGGCATTATGTAACTGATTAGGAGGAGACGATTTTGGAGGCATCTGATGGTTCATCTACAATATAAGTAACTTTAGGGTATCCTACCAACAGGTTTGGACACGATGGGCCAATCTGACCGCCAGTAAATGTTGCTACTTTAGAAATTGCTCCATTAATGTGCATGTGGGTATTCCTTGAGCACATTTTTGTGTATTCGAGGAGAGGGGGTTGACAAACCGCTGGGACTTCAGCCTGGTGGAAGCTCTGTTCATTGGTCAAAAATACCCAGTCTGGCCGCTTGACTCATCTGGGAGTGTCAGCTTCTGCCAATCATGATCAGCCATATTGGACTAGGAATATGGGATACCTTGAGTGGGGGGTTGGCTAATAAAAACTGATTTCTGATTGGTTCATGTTCAGTGCACTGTTATTAAATAAGCCCTGTTCTGCTTTGTGATCCTATAAAATAAAGCATTTTTTTTAATTTGCTTCTGTAATTGCTTAAAGCCCAGTCCTTCTATCACACGGCTCCTATGAAGTCGTGCCATCATATTGCACTCGTCCAGTTCACAGAGTATCTGCTCATCTATGTCAGCTTTGTTTAAATGGAGCTGCCTGCCACATGTTTATTAACCTTGATGGAATAACACCCCTCAGTACCCTCCCTGCACATCTGCCCCCCCCTGCAAAAAAAATCCTTGTCTTCTCACTTGCTGTAAAGAAAGCCTTTAACATCCGCTCGTATCTGTTATTCAGCTTCTATTGGTCCAATGCAATTGACAAGCAGCTCGCGTCAAAAGGAAATATCTAGGTTTAATTGTTAGCCAAGTCCCTCTTAATCCAGGGGAGCATTTGAGATTCTGTCCAAGTGTTCGCTTTTCCCAGGCCGCCAAGGTCTGCTCTCCCCCAGCCTCCGGGCTTCTGCAGCATCGCTAATGCAGATAGATTTGTGTTCCCTCTCTCTTTCTCATTCCCCCCTTTTTTTATTTTTTTCCTTCTCTCTCTCTCTCTCTCTCT